ATACAAATATATAAATATATAAATAGATATCTATACACATTTGCATAGACATGTCCCATGCATGTACTTGTAAAGATGTGTCTACATCCTTCACATGTGTGTGTACATGACCATGGTGCATCAACCTATATGTAGACTTGTATGTCCCCTTCGGGTCTGTGCAGCTTGTTATTGCCATTCCCGGCCTCCAACAGTCAGGTTATCAGTCAAACTTTGGTGTTGGCTTTTTGTGCCCACTTGAACATGTTCGCTTTCCAGGGCAAGCGATACTGTAGTGACAGCGACAAGCAACAGAGCCGAGAAGACAGCTGCCCCGTACAATCAACAAAACCTACGCGCAACTGTCTTGGTTCAGTTTCGGCGTCCTTCGACACTAAAACATGAAAGCATGTGGCAACCGTGGATTGTGCGTGGTGACACACTTGCACTGCATTTGCCAAGGCACTGTCCATCCAAAAAGTTCATGGCAAAGTGGGGTTCACCATGCTCGGCGTTGGGCTCAGCTGGTCCTGGATACGGAGCTGACGCCTTTGTGCTGGTGGCGAGTTCCACTTGCCCTTGCACAACTCAAGTCCTCAACTAGTTTGGCACGTGATCGCCAGGTAGAAGTCGATGACATCATTGCAGCGCAAGTGAGTGCAAGCTCTATGGTGACGGAGATCTACAGGAGTTGCAGGGGCCCCCGAACCCGACCACCAAAGCCCACCCAAGCCCAGACGGAAGCAAGCACCCGCCTGGCCTGGTCTTTTCCAGTTCGCGTGCATCGCAACATTTGATGTTTTGCCCTAGGTGCCCATACAGCATTGGCAAGTAACGCATTGCAAGCCTCACCTGGGAGGATCGAAAAGACCGTCTTCAGAGAGACTTTCATTCCTGAGCAAAAGTGACATTAGACATGACGCTTCAAATGATTTATTCAGTGACGGCCCTCGTTTAGAACGACTTGGCCGCCTTCCTGAAAATCAAATATTGAACTGCTGGCAATCGCTAGTTTGTTTCTTAGGACTCACGCTACGTCGGTGCTTTCAGGCGCAAAACCTCGAAATTTAATCATCACCTACACATCTTTACAGCTCATTCGGCAGATGCTGTTAAAATCTGGAGGTTTTGCAAACCTTGGCTGCACATTTTCCACTGTGAGCCTTCAAGCCTCCCAGTCACAACAGACCTTGGCCATTGAGTGCACTAAAGTGCTACTTAGTGGGTCGTCTCTCTTCTCCTGTTTTGTATCACTCGGAAACTCTCTGAGTTCTCCACGATGTATACAACTGGCCTGCATACTGCGCACTCGTGTGCAGCATGCAGATCTTTTGCAATTTTGAGTGTGATTGTGGTCGAGGCTTCATGGGAAAATTAGTTCAGGCTGCTCGCAACTGATGATGCTTCCCTGTTCAAGTTGACCGGCTTTGATACTTGACGGTGTCATGCTCAGGTGCCGCTTGTTTGAGCCACCCCGGCTCAAATGTGTGTCCAAGACACATGTTCTGCCTGAGGCAAGTAGGCAGAAAGCCTCATGTTGCTGTGCTGCTGCGCAGTAGATGACAAGGCCCCACCTGAGGTGGAGTCTGAAGAAAGGATACCGGCAACTAGGCCATTCATCCAGACCACTCCAGCTTTCAGACCGGACTCCATACCCGATGTGTTTATGGTATCCGTGACCACGAAGAGCAGCCCCCTTGGCATAGTTTTGGACGTCACGAATCCAGAGTGTGCCGTTGTGAAGGAAATCAGTCAGGGTCCGGTGCGGGACTGGAACCAAGACTGTTCAGAGGACAAACGGGTGATGCTGCTGGACAGAATCCTTGAAGTTAATGGAGTCCGTGGCTCGAGCATAGAGTTAGCAAAGGCGCTGGGCAATCCAGACACCCAGGAGTTCTCCATCACAATGCAAAGACCAGAAGAGAGAAGAGTTCAGCTGCACCGGCCAGGCGAGATCGGCATCATCATGAACTACAAGAAGGTTGGTGCTATTGCCCCGTGGATTTCGAAGATCATGCCAGGCCTCCTCAGCCAGTGGAATGAGAACATGCCAGATCAGGCAGTGTGCATCCATGACCGCATTGTGGCTGTCAATGGGGAGTCGGGCAACACGGAAGAGCTGTTGGCCAAAATCAGGGCAAGCCAGGAGACGCTGGAGCTCACGGTGTTACATTATGCAATTTGAGCCTCGGGCCATTCCAGAGACTCATAGGTTTCCCAAACTGTAACACGTGCCAGGATTCCTGGCAACTTTTTTTCTGGCCATCTTTGAAAGATGGCTGGGTGAGATAGACTGCAACACGCGGGAGGCTTTTTTCCGTGGTAGAGTTTCACAAAAGACAGGCGGCTTATTCTGTGCAGCGAGGAAATGCAAACAACGAAAGTGCGGGCATCGAATGTATGCAGGCGCTGATTCAGCATGCATCAGGGCCGAAATTTCAACTTTTGTCGAGGTTGGCTCCCTCGTCCTGTGTCGGTTGCTTGGCGTGAGAAAGAGCTTCCAGAATCAACATGGAAACGAGCTGACAGTTTCATACTGTGCTTGATGGCTCGATGAGGCTCGATGTTGAAACCTGAGGTGCATGACAGGGGGGATGGTCCTTCATCCAGTTATGCTTCCTAGACTTGAATGGCCTAGATGCCATGGTTTCTTCCAAGTGGCTGCGTGACAGCATTTTCTCAGCAGACAACTTCTGCTGGCGGCAGAGCCAACTTGCTATGCCAACTCAGTACTCCATTCCCACCAGCACCTCAGATTCCAGCAGCAATTGTTCAAGGCGGTGAGTAGCAACGGTGGCAGTTCACGCAAACTTGTTTGGTCGTTTCATTATTGCGGAAGCTTGAGGGCTCCTCACATCAGGACAGGAGAAGAGCTCTTGTGAAATCTTCTCGGTACATGTTTTGTGTGACTAGCTACGAAATGGACTCTAGCAAATATGCCTGACCCACAATCGAAACGTTATCTGCCCACTCCAGTCCTTTAGAGGCAAGTGGAACCGCTACGAGCAGTTGCGAAGAAAGTGGAAAGTGGAGAATAAGCGGGACTTTGCGCGCTTGGTTCCAGGCGATGTGCGAACTTATAACTACTCCGAGGAAGTTTCCTACCTGGAGATGTATGCCTCATCTCTTTATTGCATTACGAAGAAAAAAGGCGGCTGGGATTGCTTGAGGCATTATGAAATTTTGCTAGCAGGCTGCGTGCCCTACTTCCTTGACATCCGCAACATCCCTGGCCGGAGCATGGTCCATTTCCCACACCACTTGATTCAGTTGCTCATGCGGCTGCCAGGGTTGCCAAGTGAGGATGCTCTTGCTGACCAGCTTAGCCATGATGCAAATATCATGATCGACCATGAAGTTTTTCCAAAGGGCGAGTATGAAAGCTTGCGGTCTGCCATGCTCTCTTTTGTTGAGAGTCACATGCTCAGTGCCAAACGGGCATCTGATCTGCGCTTGGCCCACCATCGCGTTTTCCTGCACTCCGCCGCAACCGTTGAAAAGCCTGTAGACTATCTGAGAGAGCTCCTCATGGTCGGCCTGTTGGAAAATGGACATCAAGTGCTGACCACTTTCAATGCAAGCTACATTTTCGAGGATTTCAACGTGTCTAGATTGGACATGCCGTGGGGCGCATCGTATGGCCGTGGTTTCCTGTATGAGCGGGGGTTGCCGGCATCGAAGAGGCAGCTTCTAACTCACTGGTTTCCAGGGCATCCACCTCCCGAAGAGCCGTTCTCATACATCAAGACCACTTACAACAACAAGCCTTACCCAGCTGAAACATTCTTCAATAAGACGGTCGATGTATTCATTGATGGGAATGACATTTGGGGTGCGCATCCTGAGCCAGACAACGCTGCATCTTGGTACCGTCGAGAGCTCTCTGACTGCCACGACTTCATCCAGCCAGCGCGCTCTTTGCTAGGCATCTTGAACTCAGGCCTGCTAAGCAAAAAAACATCTCCCACCTCCCTCCCGTGCTTTCCCACCTCCTGTTCTCAGGTGCACTGTGGACTTGCGAGGCAGCTCCGGGAAGCCACTTGTGTCCGAACTTGCACGACGCCGTTCGTGTTTGGCAGTATGGCTTACAGATGACCATTGCCTTAGAGATTCAGACCCGAGGGTCCAGGAGAGCTGCGAATCAGTGTTGCTCGTGTACATTCGTGCACAACAGTTGCAGTGCAAGCTTCTGTTTTTTTAAGCTTGTGATTGATGCGGTGCATTGCGCATTGCGGTTGAAAAACATCTTCCGATTAACATCCAAGCCGTTTTGAAGAAGGGAGTGCGAGACTGTCCCATAAGCAGAAGGGATCAGAAGGGCCTTTTGTGAGGTGAAGATTGCCCAAAAAGAAAAAACGTGTCGAGTTCTGGCAGATTTTGGCAGGAGTGAGGGCATCTCAGAGCTTTTGCTCGACATCGAGGATTACCTGCAGACACCAGACTTTTTCCCTGACTTCGTGGAGAAGTTTCTGATCTTGGCCACAAACTCCAGGCAGTTGATGGAGCTTTACCGTGGGCTCACAGAACAAGTGACTTAAATCCACTACTGTCACTCCTTGTTGTATGCCTGCCTGGACTGGAACAACGGAAACCACTCAAAGCCACGCATCCCAGTCACAGACCATAGGCCATATCGTCAGGATGGCTGTTCAAGGGGCGGTTTTGCGCTATGAAGCCGGAGAATGTTGCTTGACCCCATGTTTGCGTGGATAGCCGCGGGCACCATTGTGGCAAGTGATGCAATTTGGACAAAGGAAGCAGATACTCTGAACCTGGCTCGTGATCCCTGAACAAGCAGCATGCTCGGACCAGCTGGCCTACTTCAACCTTTTGGGCTCCTGAGCTTCTGGATGTGTAATGTTGGACCCGCTTTAATATGCCCGGCCCCCC